GTACAGGTCTCTGGTTAGGCCACATTTAGAATATTGTGTTCAGTCTTGGGCTCCTTACCTTAGGAAAGACATTGAATTGTTGGAAAGGGTTCAGAGAAGTGATACTAGAATGGTGCCTGGGAAATAGGGGTTGTCATTTGAAGAGAGGTTGAAAATTGCTTTCTCTTGAAAAAAGAAAAGTTAGGGGGTATCTGATTGAAGTGTTTAAGTTTGTAAAGGGAATTGATAGTGTTGTTGCGGCATCTTTTTTCACACTTAACAGCGAGAATAGTAGGACTAAGGGACACAAATATATATTTTGGCCAGATAGGAGTCATCTTCAGCTAAGACAGTTTTATTTTTTTAACAGGGTAGTTGGCCTTTGGAATGGATTGCCTTCAGATGTTATGAAGGCAGTAAATTTAAGTGAGTTTAAGAAAAAGCATGATCAGTAAATGAATGATGACGGCTGGTTTTAAAATTTATTTATTAATAGTTTAGTTTAGAGGATGGAACAGCTGAGATTGACCAATAGGTCTCATGTTGTCCCAAAATGTTATATTACGTTGACATTGTTTTGATGAATTTCATAGGTTTGTGATGCCACCTAAACCTTATTGCATTATGGTAAGAGTATGTAACAGCCCTTTCCAACAAAAAATATTTGTACACTCGAATCATGAATATGGATGAATGTTGAAGATTTAGTTTTTCAAGTTTTTACTTGCTTTTAGCATTGGAAAACAAAAATAATATGGATCAACATGAAGCACCAGGACCATCCAGAAAGAGATGTGCAACAAATCGTACTGAGGTAAGCAAAGTGCAGTGACTTGTAACACAAGTTTTCACAAACACAAAGGTTAGTGGTAGAAATTGGCCAAGTACTTCAGGTAACAATGGGTAATATAATCATGAAGGATCTCCATCTGAAAAAAAGAAACGAGTCATGTGTACACAAGTTACTTCCAATGGCATATTTGTTGAATCATTGTATGCTTCAAGCAGCTGGAAATTGAAACTGTCATTCATGCTATTTTTTATGACAATGTAGTGTTGAATTCAATGGATGAAGAGCCTATGAATTTCTGTATGATCAGACTTCTGAAATGGCACTGGAAAACAGTCATTCATGTACACTAGATGGCTTATGAAAGCATGTAGTGAGGAGGAGTGGGCTTTAGACTCAACAGCCTTATGACAGATCATTTTGCATATGATGCTGCGGGGCTATTCCCAAGGTGCATAACCATCAGATAGAGCCTGAACATATGTTACAACAAGGATATAGTGAATCTCCAAAATCATTTTAATGTAGTGTGCTCAACCTCTCTATAATGCACATAGAAATGTTGAGAATAAATTAAAGAAGATCATCAGTTGATTATAAGGTGACTGAATGGTTTGATTGACATATCTACCACTATGCCAAAGTCATTAAGGCTGTGTTCTGTTGCTAGTAGCAATAAAGTTATAATATGGGATGTATTTATATCTCTTCTTACAATAAGTCAAAAGAGGTAATTATACAAATGACTGGCTTTTGCCCTAGAATATTGTGCATAGTTTTGGTCTCCTTATTTATGAAATATATTTACTTTTTTAGAAGTTCAGAAGAGGACTACTAGAGTGAAATGTTTTCTGATGGGGATAAGTTAAGATCTCAACTTGTTTTCTCTTGAGAAAAGAGTGAGAAGTGCTTTTATTGAAGTTTATACGATTATCCATAAAATTGATTGGATGAAATTGAAAGGGCTCAGCTTTCTTTGTGCTGAAGGCAATAGAGTGAGATGATATAGATTTGAGATTTCGAAAAAATAAGAGTAGACTTTTGTTAAGAGAGTTTTATTTTTCTAACAGGGTGAGTAGCTTATGAAATTAGTTTCTGTCAGTAGTAGTGATGGCTGGCACCTTACAAGATGTAAGGATTTCCTGAAATATGAAGGGTGAGCTTAATTTTTACTTCTTCATTGTGATGAGAGTGTAAAAATAGTTTTTTTTGCTCTATGATACGGTATGCTATGCTGCCAAGAGGATTTCAGGTTTGGAGAAGTCATAACCTTGGGATGGATTAAAATCTCTTGACATGTTATCATTAGAGAGGAGGAAGACTCAGGAGGACATTATTAGGGTTTTTATGTGTGTGGAATTCATAAATCCAAGTGACATTTTCAAAGAAATAAAAAGTGGAGGCAACAAGATAAGAGGGAATAAGCTGAAGATTGTGTATAACTCCAACATAACACAAGCATAGCATAATTACTTTGTTAATACAGTGGTTGGCCTCTGGTAGAAGCTACAGTATTGAAGGAGATTAGAAGAGGATTGGATGAGTAGTTTACAGATAAAGGTTGAATATAGTTTAGAATAAGGTTGTTGGGTCATTTGTCCTTTTATTCTTTGGAAATGAAATCCTGTTTGTTTGTTTTTTTAACTTGGAAACTGTTAAAGAAGCAGATTAAGTTAACGAGTAGCCTGAAATTCAGGCTATAGGTCTGTATTTTTTAAGCTTTTTTTTTAATTGGATAAATGACAAAAATTGATATAAGGCTTGAACTAATATTAGACACCATCTAATATCCATAAATTGTATATATTCCAATTCATAAAAATTGAATGACAGTCTTACTAAAGAAAGTTAAGTTCGTAAATATAAGAGACTAGCTGGAGTACCCGTCTGTCAGACTTATTGTTTTCAAGAATGTTAACAATAGTGGTTACATTCTAATGCTGAGGGATGTACAACATTTGTAGTTTTTCTGAAATTGGATAGGGGGATTCAACCCCCCCCCTCCCCATGACCTTCCTTGAGAGGAACAGATACCCACAGACATATTGATATTTATTGATATAGATTATTTTAGTGAAGTTTATATTATGTATGGGCCAATAGAATAAAAGCCTCTGGTTTCCATGCTGTATTCTGAATATAGTAGGATGAGAGGAGGAGTTGATGTTGGGAGTAGTGGAGGTTAGAACTTTAGATGAGCTTCGAAGGGGAATTGATGACTTTATGAAAAATAAAGGATGGTTTTGAATTTTTACTTTTCTCAAGAGTGGGTTTGCAAGGGCAACCTCTTAAAGACCAAATGGCTTCTTGTCTGTATATTACATATTAAAACTTAAAAGAATGTGAAATCTACTGATGTAATGCTGGATAATGAATCAGCAGAAGCATTAGAAATAGTGAAAACACAGTAGGTGAAGCGTGATTTTTTTTTTCAAATTACATACACTGTAAATTAACAAATAAGGTTTCAGCTAATTGTCTGATACTACATGTACTTCACCGATAGCTAGGACTTTTTATTTTGGTCTGTTTGAGTTGTTTTATGCTTAATTTGTCAATAGAAATAAAACATTTTCATATACATTACTTAAAGAAATAACATATAAAGCAGTAAAGATATGAGACACTAAAGTGAAATTTAGATCTGTTAAAATATATTAAATGTGAATAATTTTTTTCCTTGTGTGAAGCTTGCACAGAGATTTAGTGATAAAAGTGAACTACTAAGAGATTCTAATTGTGTTGCTTTTATTATTCAAACACTTCCCCAGCTCTTGTTTTTGTTGCGAATCCAGAACAAAAAAATCACATCTGGTGGTTTTTGAATTTATATTGGGCATCTGCTGGAAATGTATATGCCTGAAAATCGGAGGGTGGCTTATAATTATTTTTAATCCATTGCTGCTGATTCACCATATAAAGTATGGTCCAACCCCCTTAGTGGAATGTGAGTGTGCTGCAATCAAAGAGTAAAAGTAGGAGATAAGCATTATCCATGGAATTTTGAGGCCAGTTAGTCTTTAACTGGTGTTGAAGAAAGCTTTAAAAATTCTGATAATAGACGTTTTGCAGGATCATTTGAAGAATATAACATATAGAAAACAATGGACCAATTAGTCTTTTAAGGCTGTGCTTGCTCACCCACCATTTAAAAAAGTTAAAATTGAAATCCACCTTTTATTTTTTTAAGAAATCATTAATTTCTTTCTTTAAACTCCTGTAACTTGTTAACCCTGTAGATATGGGAAAATCAAAGCATGCATGTCATGAACTTTAACAGTTACATTCAAAAGTTAATTAAATTACTTTATTATCAATATATGTGAATAAACTTAAAATCAAATCATAGGTTATAATTCAAGTGTTTATATTAAATAAATTTTAATTTGTAAAGGAAATATTAAAACTAGATGTATTTCTGCTGATTCCACAGAAGTGTTCTGTTTCAAGAGTAAATAAAATCAAAATTAACAGTAACAAATATTTTCACTCCTTGCTTTTGAAACTCATATGTCCTGCTGTGTTCTAGCCTACAGAGTGCATAATTCTTCTTGTGATTCATGGCATGTGCACATTTTACGTCATGACAGTACAAATTCCAACATTAAGCATCCCTTACGTGATGTCATTTTAGTGTCTGCTGACAGACAACACACTACTGTATAGTGGTGCAAGTGGTTAAAACAGGTGACTCTCCAGGCAGTCTTTGGTCCTCTTTCAGGAAAATAAGTTCTCAATTTGCACCTTAATCACATTGCTGTGATGGCACTCTGATTTCTCTTTTATAGATTTTCTCTCCTTCCTTACAAAGGCTTCAAATTGTTCAAGTTAGAAACACCTATTATAGATAATGACAAGCCAAAATATAAAATTTCAACCTGCTCTTCCTTTATTGACATGTCACTATAATTTTTCAACACACATTAACATACCCCACCCATAACCTCACTCTTTTAAAAAATGTCAGCAATTCTCTCTTGACATTACTATTGGACATGTTTATAGTCAATAGAAAGAGAATATTAAACTACATAAATCGGATGATTATCTGTTTTGTTTTAATTGTAAAAGCCAATAGTTTGTTGGGAGATCTTGATGTATTTAGACTTAAGCCTTGCTCTAACCTCCAAGCAGTAATGACATTTGTAAAGATATTTATAGGTTAGTTTGAAAGCCAGATAAATTATAGCAGTTTTAGGACAATTTATTCTAATGCCTGATACCTTTTGTGTTCTAAAATGCATATATGAAAGATAAATGAATTTTGTGGATAATCACATTAGTGTGAAAATATAGGCTTATGGAAGTACATTCTTGAACATAAATAGACCTGTAGCTAATTTACATGGTAAGTGTATTATTTTTATGTACATTTTTTAATTAACAAAAATAACTAAAATGTAAAAACTTATTAGGTTAGCTAAGAAAACTCAAATGAAAACATTTATCATGATCGCTCTTCAATGTATGCAGTTTAACGTCTTGTGATTTTATTTGATCATTTAGAGTAACACGTTTGCTTGGTGATTTATTGCTTGGTTATACTGATTATATATGTTTCAAAGTACATTGAAATAAAAGCAGATGTGAACAGGTTAAGAGGTTTAAAGCTCATAAGATAAGTAATTGTAATGAAAAATAATGTAATTTTGATTTTATTTCATATTTTTCATTTTTCTGTACATTCACGAATTTTACTCAGCTAGTATTAAGGTAGAGAAAATATGTCATATAGGATAAAGTTTTGCAAAAATACTTTTGGTATTCATTTAGGAGGTTCTAGAGGTTATGCAAATAAAATATGAAAACTTTAAGATGAAGAGAAGTATTTTAATTTGTAGTATGAAAATTGCCTTTGCTCAGACTGACTCAGTAAAGGCTTTGTAAATTCACAATCAAATTTTTAGTAAAATATACTTTATTAAAAAATTTGGTTTTTATAAAGATACACATAGTTATAGTACATATAATTTCACAGTTACATGATGGTTAAAAAATGACTGAGCCTGTGTACAGAAAGTTAACTCATTCCATAAGTAAATCATTATATTAGAAAAATAAAACTGTCTTAACTGTAACCTAACTTTTTTTTTTTTTTTCAGATCTTAAATTTCTGTTCTATTACCTTCAGAACATATCACAAAGAAATCTGAGGCCTTTATGCTCTGGACCTCATAGGTAATGTTGAAACTTTGTTAAGATCACCTCTTATCCTTCTTTTAAAACTTAGGAGAATATAAGTTATCTTAATCTATCCTATAAGATAATTCTTTAATCTCCAGAATCATCCTAGTAATTCTCTTCTAAACCCTTTCCAATAAGTCATTATTCTTTCTTGGGGCTTTCATTATTACTTGAGGTAGAAGAATAGGTTTCAAAAGCAGAATGGAGTCTGTGTGTCCATCCTCAGCACAGGTCAAGAGGGCAGTGTCTCTTGAAATTAAAAGTTAAGCATTTTCAGGACAGCTAAATCTTAAGTATTTGATTATAGCGAAACCTTTTCTTTGAAGTGACAAATATTTACACAATTCAAGTCAATTCTAATACGTCTCATAGAATGCTAGTATCCATCTCATAGTTTTCAACAAAAAGCCTTTCCATCAGCATTCTTTAAGGGTCCAATACTCATTTTAACATTTTGATTACCTTTCATGTACTTAAAAAGTTTTGTTGTTAGTTTTAGCATTATTAATCAGCTGTTTCTCATTTGGGATTTCCTAATTTCTTTTTTTTTTTACCAGACCTTTAACTTTTCTATAGTCTTTTAAATAGTTATATATATCTATCAACTTAACCTTCTTAAACTTAAGTCATTTTTTACTGATTTTCTCCTTTATGTCTTTAGTAAACCAGTTAGGCGCTATCCTTTTAGGAACATGTCTAACTTGAAAGAAAATCAACTTATTTTTAGAAGTTTTCAGGATCTATATCACAACACTTTTTAACTTGTTATGGCAATTTAGTGATGATAAATCATATCTTATAACCTCAAAATTGACTTTCTGAAAGTGAGGAATTTAATTATTTCTTCTTTCTCAGAATGTAACAAAACACCAAACTAATTATGCAATAATCACTATTCCCTAAATGTACTCCTACTTCCTCTCTTACAACCATATTGTCATTAGTGTTTGACAATAAATTTGAATTTGCATTCCCTCTCCTTGCCTCTCTGACTTTTTGGTATAGAGAAGCATCCTGTATCACTTCAGGATATGTCTCTCCTGCACTTTTTTACTCCATACAATCCCAATCATCATTTTTAAAATTAGTCTTCCTTAATTACTGCATAATTCTTATTAATAACAACCTTTATGTTATTATGCAATTTCTTACTGATCTTATGTATGTGATAAGGTGGCCTATAACAGTTACCAATTAAAAACTTTCTACTTTTGAAACCCCTGATTGTAACCTGTGCAGATTTAACCTCTTAACTTTTCAAATATCTCTTAAATCTTATAACCTTGAATTTCAGAAATAATTCCTATTATCAGTATTATGTAAGTCGAACCGAATTTCAATAATTCCAATTATATCAGTTTCCATTTCAACAAGAGCATTAAACTCCCTTATTTTGTTCCTAATACTCCTAAAAGTATAATAATAGCAACTACACTTATTCTTGAATATACTGTGTTTATTTTTATATCTGATTCTTACTTGTAAGTAACTGTTATTTAACTTACCAAACTTTAAATATCTTGTTTCCAAACTTACCTTTTCCCTAATTTCCTATTAATTTGTTTATTCCCAACTTTTCTTATCTCTATCCAAATTCTTAAGTATTGTTAAAGAATATATTCAGAGATTCCCTGAATGTCCTATTGCCTAATTTGCTTAAATGAAACTCATATTTAGCATATATTTCATCCTTACCCTAGAAATATTTCACATTTCTAACCAGCCCACCTATTACTCTAAATGTTTATCTGGTAGTCTGTCATTTAAACCATGTTTCCTTTTGATTATTTTATTCTATTATTTAGCCAAGGGAACACTCCTGAAAGGACCATACATCTGTGTCTATCCCTATACCTCTAAAGGAGTTCTTTACATTTTTTGCTTTAAGTAACATTTTCTTTACATTCCAACATCATTCTCTCCTACATGCACTACAAAAGGAGAGTGTAGTGTCTCTTGGAACCAACAACTAAACTTTCATCATACTGTTTAATATCCTGTACTTTAGCACTTAGATAGTAAATTATAATCCTAGTCTTTGTATGCTCCCCATCACAAGTAACAATACTGATATTTGTAATAAGAGAGTTTCCCACCATGTAAATCTCTTGATTATCTTATTCCTTTTTGCAAGCAGTCAAAGGCCCAAATCTATTAAAGGCAAGTACCTGTTTTGCTTTTGTGTATTCTTGTAAACCCAGCACTCTTGTTCTCACCCTCCCCAGTGTAATCTCTGTTCAAACTTTATCCATTGTTGTCTTGCTTCCTTGATTTCCACTCTTTATCTGCAATTTTTTTCCTCTTAGTAGCACAGTCTTCCCTAAAGCTACCTCTAACTTATCATCAAATAAACAAGCTGCATGTGTGTAGTAATCTGTAAACTTGTAGTCCCCTGAAACTTGTAGTTAAACCCACAATTCTCAAACATAACTCAATCCTAGCATCTGTTCCACTATACTTTTCCCCTAAGCTGACTTTAATTTTCAGAAACTCTTGTTAACGTGCTACTTAATAGATTAGGGAAAACTTACATCAGTCAGGTTAAAGAATAAGTTTGCTAAATGGATTGAAGGTTGGCTGAATAGAAGGAAGCAATAAAGTTTTTAATGGAATTCAGTCTCACTGGACTAACATTACAAATGGTGTGCCTTAGAGACCAGGGTTTGCCAAATCCCAGGCACTAGCTTGCTATGTGCTTAAAAAGAAATTGGCCTGCTATTGGGGAATTTTGAATGAATTTGCCATTAGTTTCATCTACACTGTAATATTTGCATGGAAAAGATTTGTACAGCATTTGAATTTCCAATAAATATCTCAAAGGAAGTCCAAATTGATGCTCCAAAGAGTTTGACTACCAGTTGATAAATGGGGGTTGTATAAGAAGGCTTTTGGTTGCCAAGGCATTTCTACCTGACATAGAAAAGAATGTGTGATTGGTTTACCTTCAAAATACTGTAAACATTAAATTGCACAAACAAAGTAGTGGGCATGTATTTTATTTGTATCTGATAAGCTTAATTTGTAAAGATTGTAAACTGAGTTATAAATTTTTTTGGGGTTAAGCTATCATCATGGCTTCTAGGATTTTTTGATGGTTATTAAGAGTTGAGATATTTGATAAATGATAACCATGGCTGGGATACTTGATGTTCCTCACTTCAGTTAATGATATTTATAAGGGCTGGTCGGGAAAAGTTTTAAATTTGCTGTTTAATTTCATTCATTCAGAGAATATATCCTGTCATGTAATGAATGTATAAACAGAACATTAAATTAGCTTATTTTATAACATATAAAACAAACTGTCGATACAAAAATATTTAATATCAGGTCGAATATACGTGTACTCAGCACAAAATTTTACATGTCGTGTTCCACTGCAGGAAATGCTTCTTTGCTGATGTTTTTTATCTTAACCTTATCCATTTCTGTTTTGCTTCTGATTTGCAATATTTTGCCTTCTTAGCAGCACAATATTATTTAGATCTATCTCTAACTTATCCTCAAAAAAACAAGCTGTGCATATGTAATAAACTGTATCTTTCTGAGTCCCGTGAAACTTGCAATTAAACCCATAATATATTATCAGTAAAACTTAGTTGATGCGTCTGAGTGGTATAAGAATATTTTGTTGTTACTCATTATAACCAATATTTTATTTAATTCATCCCACCCTATGTAGGTTTAAGTGAATAACGAAGTAAACATGCATGGGATTGGAGGTGTTTCTAGGTCTGGTCGTGTGAGAAAGAAATCTGCTAAATTGATAGAAATGGAAGTCTGGGATGCACCCGATCAAGAAGGAAGACCTCATAAAAAGTCAAAATCATCAGATGAGTCTGAACAAGAAACTGAAAAAAAAGTAGCTCCTATAAAACTACCTATAAAAGTTCCTACTAGGAAGCCACAGTTAACTGGTTCCCCTACAAAACAGATATATTTTAATCCTGAAAAGGGGAGAATTGAGTCAGGACATATTGAAAAGAATCTTGATTCTAATAATTCCTCTCCAAAAATGGAAAAGAAATCCAGTATTTTCTCTGCTGCAACAGATGAGTTACATAGACCCATAGTAACAACTATATCAAGTTCAAGCTCTTCATCTGAATCAGGTAATTACAACTTTAATACAAAAATTGTACTGATTAACTTAAACATTTTATAGAAATCCTGTTGATTTGCTTGGTTCTTAGGCCATTTTTATTCTAATTCCTTTCCAACTGAGGCATTACACTGGATTTTTTTGATTAATTCTGTTATTTGGTTAAAGCTTCAAGAAAAATAGTTATTAATTACTTTTAAAAACTAGTTGTGTTTAAAAAACATGAATTTGTTTGATAATCTTAAGTTACTATAAAATTTCGAACAAATGTACATTTCTTCAATACTTTTATCAAAAATTTAAAATCTTGAATCCATTTATCCTCATTAAACATGTATGTTAAAAAAATTCTGAAAAGCAAGATCTAATAAAAATGTAGTTGGATGGAATAGAACTTTTACTGTAGAAATTGGCTTATACATCACTCTTGAGAGTTTACTCCAGCAGAAGTTTTAAATACCAATAGCAAGGAATCAGCAGAATAAGACTTTCTGCAGCAGTAATGTATAGTCATTTATTGTATTTGGAATAACAGTTAATGTTTGTTCTATTATTCAGGATAATTAAATAGACTGTTTTACCTCTTATATAAGACTACATAAATAAAATAATTAACAACTCTTTACAGTACAATGTTAACACTATTGGAATGGACCTGTGTTAAATATAGATTCTACTTAATCCACAACGAACACTTGATAGCACCTTATCAATGGTGTGTTAATAAAACCAGGACATGTCAGCTTTTAAAAATTGTGATTATTAACACCATTCTTATACACAATTAGTATGAAAGTTATTTGTTAAAAATCAAAATTTTACATGGGTATTGCATCCTCCACAAATCAGACTCGGAGTATGTAGACAGTTCATCGGGTACTTTGTGTGACTTCACTTCATTGGCTAGGCAATATCAGAGAACTGATAATAAGTATTTTAATCTGTTGGTGTTTCTAGAATTACAAAAAAATAAGCATAGTCTAATTGGTTACAGAATAGTTGTCATGAAGGAGGCAGAGGTCACACCAGCCTTTAAAAAAAAAAATTTTTTTTTATACACATGCTTCCTAAAAATCTGTTTTCAACATTAATACCTACCTTTTTTTGCATATTGTATCAAAATAATTATTTCCAGTGTAACAGTAGTTAGTGTTAGTAGTTTTAGTGGTTATGTAAATGAAATTTGAAAATTTTCAAATAAAGAAAAGTTTTTTTAATATTAACAAGAAAATCACTTTGCACTCGAAGCAGTCAATGCTCTGATTCCAAATATTCAACAACAAATCTTTAGTAAAAATACTTAATTAAAATATTTGATTTTTTGTGTACAAAAGATTTGTAATGTGTGCTGAAAGCTTGCCAAATTTCATGAAGATACACGAAGCATATTAAAAGTTATAGTATGAAAACTATGATGGTTGCTTTGAGGTTACGAGGTTGGTAGAGGCCTGGCATGGCCTGGTGGTTAGGGTATTCAACTTGCAACCTGAGGGTTTTGGGATCGAATCCTTGTCACCAAACATGCTCACCCTTTCAGCCATGGGAGCATTATAATGTTATGGTCAATCACATTTATTAGTAAAAGAGTAACCCAAGAGTTGGTTGTGGGTGATGTTGGCTATCTGGCATCCCTCTAGTGTATTACTGCTAAATTAGAGACAACTAGTGCAGATAATGCACGAAAACATAAATGTTTAGACTAAAAGCATAAATCTCGTAACATTATATATTTATTATTTTTATTATATTGACCTTTCAGCCGTGCCTGGCTAACAGTACAGAAATTACAATGACATGGCTCACATGCACTCATGTTACCATATCAAATAACATAAAACTGACTATTGGTCTATTCAAAGCAACTTATCTTGGTTGTGTTTTAGTGGACTAGTATTTTGTAAAATACAGTTACATTTCAATTATTATACATTATATATGTATATAGATTATTTCTATTTTGAAATAAGTTCATAAACTTATTTTTCTTAAAATATAGAACAGTAAGTAAAGAAGTATAGCAAACAATTATCTCTTCTAGTTACGACCTTTGAACTTGGTTGCTGCTTGCTGAAGGTTGCTAAGCCTTTAAAAATTTTGCACGTGAAGGATATGAAACAAAATTATTTTTAGGTTCTATATATACATTTGAATAACTAGAAATTCATAAATTACTACATCAATACCATAGAATTCCACTATAATTTATCAAGCATAGTAACTAAGATGTATTTTAGTCTAAAAAAAATGAAATTTCAAGCAAACTAAAGACACATCCTACCCCCTTTAAATCTTGGTTCTGATTGGTTATTCATGTTATGTATAGAAGTAACTGTATATAAGGGAGCATTTCCAAAAATTGGATGAGGTGGGCATGGTGCCACTGTGTTTGATTTATTACATGAGCAATATCTTAGCAAACAGAAAAGATAAGATCTTCTTATTTTATATTCTAGCTTGTCAATATTGGTAATTTGAGTTTCTAATTCATACAAAACTACAGACTTAGTATTTTGACTTCACAAACACCTAATTTGAACCAGTGCTGCATTCAACATACCACGTGACATACAAAAATCAATGTTTATCTGTGTTTTTTAATATTTACTTTTAAATTAAGAAAATGAGTAATATATAGTACTGAAATGTTAATTATAATGTGCAGTTTGATACCAAAGTTATTGACATAAATTCATGAAATAGTAGTTCAATAAAATTTTCAATGCGAGTCAACAAACGAGATGACATTGACTTTCACCCCTGACCCATCTCGAAAGGGTTAACTTGTTTTCACAGGATCCCACTCTGTGGTAAGCATTGCCCAGGCAGGTATGCTTTTACCAAACCAGTTCTGCACTAGCAACCACTAACTCAGTATACTTTATACAGGTTGCAACAGGCTCTATAGAAAAGAGATGTTCCAATCATGGAGTATCATGAATAAAGCATAAAGGGATCCAGCTTTGTCCCTGCTGATCATCGGATTGAATACATTGGGGTTGGTTTGCTTTTAGAAAATCTAGGGAACTTGGTTCACCTATTGCACTATTTCCAGAGCACTGTTCCTCAGGACTTCCCAATGCACATTACCCCTTAGTTTCTACTAGTGGAGCTAGGTAGTCCTTATCACACCTGCTTGATTCACTTGACATCATGTGTGAAGTCTGACCTGGTTTGATGTTTGTTTATATGATGCTTTCTTTTTATGTATTTTTCCTTTCACATACACATTTATGTAAGCTATGGTAACCAGATTTCCCAGTTTGGGTGAGACAGTCCTGGTTTTTAGAATGCTCTCTCTCCTTTTGCCCACTTTTCTATTTATGTCATAATCTATAACATGTGTCATACCTGAATTCAGTACTTTTGCCATCTGATAACTGTGGATCTACAGGTACAAAGTTTTTTAAATAAGAAGGAAAATTATCACACTGCTCAGAAAGACTGAGCATGGTCTGTGCTGTTTCCTCTGAAGTTGGTTATAAGTCAAGCTACAACAAACACCATAACACATTTCATATGTCACTGAGCACTTGATTTTGTGCCATTGCTGTGATTCACAGCCAATGCTCAATTTTCGAGTTGTGAAACATTGAATTGAAATAACCTGAGGGGAGAACATGAATGATAATTATTCAGAATTTTAGGACATATTACTAATATTAGAAAAGTTGCTTGAGAGGTATCTGAAGCAATAGTAATGTAGGTAAAAACATTCTTTTCACTTAATATTATTTGCATAACTGGTCATTTATAATATTCCTCAAAAAGAGAGGGGGTTTCAGTTTAAAGATCTGAAAATCTGTCTCTCCAGTTTTATGATTTGATAATCTGGCCACCTTAATATATGCCCCTATTTTCTTCAAGTCTGCTTACATCCTTTCTCTCAATGTCTCATTTATGGCAGGTTTTTCATCAACATCAAAATAGTTTGGAGAAATATTATATTGAAGTTATCATGTTGAAGTGCACAAAACACTGCTTGGCTTACTCCAACCTTAGTGGACATTCTGCTCATCATGTTCTTCACCCAGTCTTGTATACATCATGAACATATTCCATTGGGGTGAGGAGCTCATCATTGACATTTCTGATTTGAATACTCCATGATAGATGTGTTATTTCCCAATATTATGGTGCTTTCTAGTGCAGTATCACACTTTTGTAGGTCTATAGGTCTAATAGAACCAACTGCTACTGTTTTTTTAACTTCTCTAAGAGTAATAGTCACATACCTGCTTCCTTCATTTTAATGTGGTGATTCTAATTTAAGTATCTTAGTAAGGTAGGTAAGATTGCATACTCAAAATTACCATTATTCAATGAGTTAGTTATGTGACCATATGAGATTGTGAAGTCAGGTAATTGTATTTAGCTCAGAAAGTGTATGTGATCTTTGGTTTAGAAGTAGATCCTAACATTAGAGGGCCTGAGTCGTGCGAGACATGTACTGTACTTTCTCACCAGAACAAGAATTGTTTAAGGTTACAAAATTGCAAATGGTAGGTTGGAGAGAGTGATAGAAAGTCTATTTTTGGTGAATCAAAGAGACATAGCTAAACCTTGTTGTTAAGAGTTAAGTATCTCTCTGAATTTAATTCTAACATATTAATGTTAATAAGAATGTATAAAGGCTTTTGCAGTTTCTGATCCAATTTATGAGTTAACATCTGAAAGAAGATAAGAATGTTATCAAGAATTTATTCATGTTATTAAGGATGTAAAATGCATGTTATTGCTAAATCATGTGTATTTTTCAGATGAAATAAGTGAAGAGGAGCCTCCTCCTATAAAAGATTTTACACAAATGGATCAAAGATTTTTACCACCAAAAAAGAAGATAAAAAAAGATGTGATATGGTTAAAACGTATTGTGCCTTTTGAAACTAACAAAATTCCACTGGTAAGTTTGCATGTTCTAGTATTGAACCTGTTTAATAAAGAAAAATGAAGTGTGTGATTTAAGGAACTTATAAAATAAAAAGTTTATGGAACAGTGGTGTTTTTTCATCAAAACCATATATCATTTGCAATATGAAATAAGTAATAAGAAAACCCATAGTATAATCAGGTAGCATTTGTATTATTGTAGTGACAACAACATTTAAATTCTGAATTGGGGACATGGCCCAATGAAAGGGTAATTTTTTCTTTTTTTTCATTATTAAAGTCCTATGGCTTTTGGATATATTCATCCAGGGCATTTTTTACGAGGCCGCTTTGAGTAATGGAATGTTTTTTGTGCTATTGCATAAAAAAATTGAATCAGTAAGTGCTGTAACATATACACTTCAGAAATGCATTACTTTTATTTTTTGGTTTATTAAAATTTTATGAATATATAATACAAAGTTCTGTATTTATGCAACATCTAGTGAAAGTAAACAAGAGTGTAAAGTTACTAATATATATAATACCTAGTTTATGGAGATCTTGTTTCCAAAGCTAACACTCACCAGATGTAATTAAATTTCTTGTCTGTGTTGAAGTTTATGAGATTTGCTTCATTAATGAAACTTTGGTTTTCATTTTCTTTAGCTTTTGTTTCAAAAGCTTTAATTTTTTATCATGACTTCTCTTTCTTGATTCATACTATCTCACTTCACTAATGGTTATCCTCCCTCCACCCTTATATTTGGAACTTGCTTGCTCTATTGCCCATAGGACTGGACTTTTCACTACTCTTGTGTCATCCTTCCGGACCTAGCTCAACTCATACCAGACAGTTCTGCATGCTTTATCATTGGATCTCTTACTCTAAGGGTCCCTGTCTTTTTCTGTCCCTATTCTGGGACCCCTATTTTTCATGAATCTCCTTCCTAATTTCTTTCTAGGATGGGCTCTTCGACTCCTCTGTTGACATGTTTGCGTTGGAATGTTGATGTTAGCATTCTATTCATCACCTTCCCTTCTGCCCCTTCTTCACCAGCTTTTGAACAAGCTTTTCCAGGTGGTCATGTGGATTATCTTCACACATCCATATCTATACCTTCTGGCAGTTTTTAGCTTCCACAAATCATCATTCTTCCATCGCCTAACTGTCTTTAAGTAGAATGTGAACCATTTCCCCTTTGAGAACCTTTCTTACATTCAGTAAGTTGCCTCCCAAGAAATTCTTACCCAAAATTCACATAGAGCCAGGATAGTGGAAAGTATTCATACCATCTGGCCTGGTTCTGCACATACTCACTGTGAGATGGAGTATT